AAATTTTGGCCAAGGTTGGGAAGGTTGCCTATCGACTTGAGTTGCCGGACGATTCTGATATCCATCCGGTCATACATGTTTCACAACTCAAGCAAAGACTCGGCGAGGCGCATACGGCAAAGGATCGACTACCCGCGGTCGCGCCGGACGGGCAGGTTATGGTGCGGCCGAGCCGCGCGATGGAGTACCGACGAGTCAAAAAGGCTGGAAAATATTTTTGGGAGGTACTTGTCGAATGGGAGGACTTGCCGAGCGAGGAAGCAACGTGGCAAAGTTGGGATGAGATGCGCGGGATGTTTCCCGATTTCTTCCTTGAGGACAAGGAAGCACTTGAAGGGGACGGGAATGATGAGAACACGGCAAGGAGATTAAAGAATGCTGCGAGCCGCGCTTATCATGCACGACGGAGGTTAAGCCGACGGGCTGCCCAGGCCCAACTCATTAGCGGACATGCGCGCGCAGACGGTGACGCGCGCGAGAATCTCGGCCAAGGGTGCATTAGCGCGGGTACGAACGAGGAGGTTCACGCGCGAGCAGGCCTAACCACGCAAGGGGTAGGCGAGGCGGGCGCGCGAGGGCAGCACGCGCGCAATGGCGGCTTGAATCGCAAGCAAGAGATATTCTAGATATCTATTTCCTTGTTTTCTAGTTTGTTTAGGACTCCTAATATTTTATTATTTTATTAGAGTTATAGTTATATTAGGACTAGATCTAGTTGATGCCTATATAAAGGCTCTTCCTCTTGTTAATTTAATTATTCTGAAATCAATACAAAAATCCGAACTTTTGTTCAAACACTTTGCTCTAGTTTTCTTCTTGAATTCTTTTGCAATTTTATTTGTTAAAAAGGCTGCGAGTGTGCGACTTCCTAACACCTATCGAGCGATTTAAGGCGCGGGAGCGGCTTGTCGACAGTCGGGACACACGATCTTCATCATTGGTGCTTTCATTGAGAGGTGTTAGATCGTGTGTTTTTCTTCTTCCCCATTCTCTTTTAATTTGTCGTTCTTAATTTTCGTTGTCAAAAAAAAAAAAAAAATATTCAAAATTAGTCCGGGAAGTCGAGAATGTAGGCAAACCAGAAAAGATATGGCCAATCGTGAGTTAAAAGAAAGAGTCGAAGGATTGGAAGGCCAATTTAGGGCCATAAGCGAAAGCATGGAGGGTCGATTTGGTTCGCTCGATGAAGGGCAGACCACCACCAATGCTACTGTAGCTCATCTCGAGCAGCGCCTGGAGGAGGTGTTGCGTGGGTTCCAGCAACAACAGCAGCAGGATCCACCACGGGTGAACGCACGCGAGCGTCTACGGCAACAGGAGCAGCAGCGGGCTGAGCACAACCTCGACGAGGAGGAAGAGTACGAGCAGCGGTCGCAGGCGTCGAACGTTCATGAGCGACCACGCGTCAAAAAGCCAAGGATCGCGCTCTCGACGTTCACGGGAACCAACCCCGACGCTTGGCTGAACAGGGCGGTGCAATTCTTCGATTTAAATGAGATGCCGCAACGTGACTGGGTTCGTTATGCCGCGTACTATTTAGATGGTGATGCCAACGTGTGGTGGTAGTGGCTCACGCGCGTGTATCGCGGGCGACAACAACTAATCCGTTGGGAAGATATTGAACGAGAGCTCCTTACGCGCTTTGGAAACTCGGACTATCATAACCACGACGAGGCGCTAACTCGGATCCGGCAGATGGGGAGTGTACGTGACTACCAAAAAGAGTTCGAGAGGTTGGCGTGCCGGGTTCGCGGGTGGCCGGAGAGCGCGCTTGTTGGCGCGTTTGTTGGAGGGCTTAGGTATGATCTCGCGGCTGAAGTGCGATTGGAGAGGCCGGAGACCATGCATAAGGCCATGGAAGTTGCTAGGAGACGGGAGGATCACTTGGCCGCGACTCGAAGGGGACGGGCGGATTTTCGTGTCCCGGAGCCGCGGCGTGTGCCGGCGACCGTGGGCGCACCTAGTGCGAACGCGAGGCCGCTGGGCACCTTTAGGCCACCAGCAACCGAAGTGAAGAGGTTGACGGAGAAGGAAATGGCACGGAGACGTGAGAAGGGGCTGTGTTTCCGGTGCGAGGAAAAGTACACGCCGGGACATCGGTGCAAGCAGAATTACTTGATCGAGTTTGTGGACTCGGATGACGAGGAGCCGGTGATCGAAGAAGAACGAGAGGTGGAGGTCGAGGTGCTCGATGATGAGGCCGAGATATCTGTACACGCCATGGTGGGCACCAAGGGATCGAGGACGATGCGTTTGCCGGCGTGGGTGAAGGATCAGCGAGTGACTGTGCTCGTGGACAATGGGTCGTCGCACAACTTCATTAATGCGACGCTATCTCACAAGCTTAAACTACCCACGTCCATGGTCGAGCCATTCGAGGTGCGGGTGGCTAATGGAGAGAGACTGCGGTGCTCGAAGGTGTACCGAGGCGTGCCAATCAAATTTGAAGGAGTAACGGTAAAGGCGGACCTGTTTGCCTTACCATTGGTGGGACCTGATGTGGTGCTTGGTGTGCAATGGCTCGAAGGGCTCGGTGACGTAACGACCAACTATCGGAAGGGCGTGATGAAGTTCGAGACCGATGATAGGTTGGTTACCTTGAAAGCGAGCGAGGGATCGACCAAGGAGGTTGGTCTAAAAAGCATCGAGAAGGTGTGGCGAGGTGGCGGACAGTTGTATGCTGTCGTGGTCGAGCAGACAGGCAAGGATGCGGAGGTGATCGAGAAGTTCGACCATGTGGTCGAGCAGGCAGGCAAGGACGCGGAAGTGGTCGAGGAGTTCGACCAAGCGGTCGAGGAGAGACAGCGCGAGGTGCGTCACTTGCTCGAGGAGTTCGACCAGGTCCTCGACGAGCCCAAGGGGCTGCCACCACACCGAGAGTTCGACCATCGCATACCTTTGGTCGAGGAAGGTCGAGCAGTGCACGTGCATCCGTACCGATACGCACACTTCCAAAAGACAGAGATCGAGCGGCAGGTGGGCGAGATGCTCGAGTCTGGGCTCATCCAGCATAGCTCGAGCCCGTTCTCGTCACCGGTGTTGCTCGCAAAGAAGAAGGACGGAACTTGGCGATTCTGCACGGACTACTGCGCTCTCAATGCGGTTACTGTGAAGGATCGTTTCCCTATTTCGAGCGTCGACGACATGTTGGACGAGTTGGGTGGCGCGCGTTACTTCTCCAAGCTCGACCTACGCGCGGGCTACCATCAGATCAGATTGGCCAAGGAGGACGTGCCCAAAACGGCTTTTCGCACGCACCAAGGGCACTACGAATATCTCGTGATGCCCTTCGGGCTGTGCAATGCACCTTCGACCTTTCAGTTTGCCATGAACTCAATTTTTAAGAGGTACCTACGTAAGTTTGTATTAGTATTCTTTGATGACATTTTGGTGTACTCGAAAACATGGGCAGATCATCTCGAGCACTTGCAAATTGTTCTGGGGATTTTAGAGGCTAACTCATTCTACATCAAACCGTCCAAGTGCTCGTTTGCTCAAGAAGTGGTCGAGTACCTCGGGCACTTTATTTCTCATGATGGCGTTAAAGTGGACCCAAGGAAGATCGAGGCAATGGTGGGATGGCCGAAGCCCGCGAGCTTGACGCAGTTGCGAGGGTTCCTTGGTCTTACGGGCTACTATCGCAAATTCGTGAAGGACTATGGTACCATCGCGAAGCCACTCACCGAGATGACGAAGAAGGGAGCCTTCAAGTGGACGGAGGCGAGCGAAAAGGCTTTCGAGGAACTAAAGAAGGCCATGACGACCACACCCGTGCTCGCAATGCCGAGATTTGATGTGTTGTTCGAGATTCATTCGGATGCGAGCGATATTGGAATCGGAGCGGTTTTGTTGCAGGAAGGACGACCCTTAGCCTATCTCAGCAAGGAACTCGGGCCAGCGCGCTTAGGGTTGTCCGCATACGTAAAAGAGATGCTAGCCGTGGTCGAGGCCGTGCGCGTATGGAGGCCGTACTTGTTGGGGAGGCGCTTTCGGATTGTCACGGACCAACAGCCGCTCAAGCACTTACTCGAGCAAAGGATCGTGACGCTCGAGCAGCAGAAGTTCGTATCCAAACTGATGGGATTCGACTTCGAGATTGTGTATCGGCCCGGTCGCCAGAACACCGTGGCCGACGCATTGTCTCGCCGGGAAGACGTGGCCGAACTCGACGCAGTTACGGGGCCGACGTGGGCCGTTTGGACAGAGCTTCGGAATGCGCAAAATGAGGATGCGCATTGTCAGGACGTGGTCAAGAAACTGAACGAGGGACGCGACAAGGACGAGGACCATGACATGCACGATGGCTTGCTTCTTTATCATGGGCTAGTCGTCGTGCCCGAGGCGGGATCGTTGCGCGAGGACATCATCCGGCACTTCCATGACTCGAAGTTTGGTGGACATTCCGGGGTGTTCCGGACATGGATGAGGATTGCGAGCACTTTTCATTGGCCAGGGCTAAGGGGCGATGTGCGCGACTACGTTGGGCGTTGTGATGAGTGCCAACGCACTAAGACGGACGCGCGCCGACCAGGCGGGCTGCTACAACCCTTGTCGGTCCCCACACGTATTTGGGAGGACATCACCATGGATTTTATCGAGGGGTTGCCACTCTCGAATGGGTTCAATGGAGTCATGGTGGTAGTCGACCGTCTTACCAAG